TCTAGAACTCACCACGGGGCAGAAGGGTGGTGAGAGAGGTGGGCAAGGACATGTGATGGTGATGCAGGGCCTCGAGACCACCTGACAGCTGCATCACTCTGCCTGGCATAGCCTGTGTCCCCTCCCTACCACACAGGCTCTGGGAGAGGTCACGTGACTGTGTGTGGAGTGCTTCCAGCACTACTCAGGCACAGACAAACATTCCACCAATGGCAATGGCAGTTGTCATGATGACAATGATGTCGTTGTGCTGGTGATGTGATGATGATGTCATGATGATGATGCCATGACAATGATGTCATGCTGGTGATGTTGTGTTGATGATGTTGTCATGATAATGATGATGATGCCATAATGACAATGATGTCAGTGTGCTGGTAGTATTGTGATGATGATGATGTCATGATACCACGATGATGTTGTGACAGTGATGTCATGATGACCATGATGCCATGATACGATGATGTCATTAGCAGAGGCTTCCCACTAAGGGGCTGAAGCTTCAGAGTGTGGGCCCCACTAAATGGGACACCTCTGCAGCAGGCCCCCCTTCTTGCAGACTAAGCCATGTGAGCTAGCAGAATTGCACCATGGAGCCTAGTCCTCCAGAGAAAAGTGGCCCCTCACTGGCCCAGGAGAGGCAGGCTGAGCAGGCCTGGGGCCTGACCCCCTAACCCACCCTGGGGAGCCCACACTGGTACAGGGCCCAGCAGTGCCTAGTGGGCTGGGTGGAAGGAGTGGGTGAGGGTCAGCCAGGCCCCTCCCAGAGGCACGGCTGAGTGTGGAGAAGTGAGGGACTGCTGGAAGTGCCCTGCAGGGGTAAAGGCTGGAGGAGAGGCAGGCTGGTCCCAGCAGGGTAACCTGACCCTACTAGAACAGAGGCAGCACCACCCCAAGGGGGCTCTCCAGCCACAGGGCCTGGTTCCAGGCTCCCAGGTCCAGCCCTATGGCTTCCTGGTTGTGTGACCTCGGGCAAGGCACATGACCACTCTGAACACGGTTTCCTAAGGCCATAAAATGAGAAGGGGAATCTCGGGATGTGAGGTTGGCAGCAAATGTGGTGAAGGTTCTCACCCCAGCCTGGCCTGTGGTCCTCGGTCAGTGCAGAATTATGGAGTTTACATTCTTAACCGGGGTCCTGACATGGGCCTCAAGGTGTCCACGGAGCTCCCTGACACTGGACGCCAAGACTGTATGAGTGACGTGTTTCTACCGGGATGGGTCACCTCACCAATGTGACCCAGAAAAAGCTGAGAATCTCTGCCCACTAGGGTGCATGCGAGCACCCCATGCTGGTTCCTGGGCCCAGGCTTAGGAGTCCCCGTCCCTGCCCGGGGTGCCCATTACTGAGAGAACTGCAGCTGAGGCCACTCAGCGGGTGTTGGGCTGCTCCTATTGTTAGATTTTCAAGAATTTTGTGTGCTGGTCGTTAAACCCAGCCACTCCTGGAAATTAAGTAAACTTGCAATGACATATGTTTAAAGAGAAGATACTAGATACTCAAAACTCAGCCCTTCCTAACTCCTTTACTAGTTAGCACCATCCACGCCCTGGAGGGTGAGAGCACCTGTACAGGAGAAACGTTCTAGGGCCGTCTGCTACTGGACTCCTCTGCCCTCAGTGACATCATGTTGGCAGCTTGAAATAGGGGTGGCGTGAGTCTTTATACCATGGAAAGAGGCCTGAGGCTCTGGGAGCCTGGGGTGAGGGTGCAGTCAGGACAGGAGTCGAGCTCCAGAGCCAAGTCTGAGCAGTGAACCGGAGTTGCCTGGACACGTGAGGAGGGGCTGATATTCCAAGAGTGGATAAAGGCACATATTCCCATTTCACAGAATCATAACTGAGGCCAGGTCAGTCAGCACAGCTGGACAGGGATAGAGCTGGGACCGGAACCCTGCTGTGCCTGCCTCCTGGGCCGGAGGTCTTTGCACGATGCTGCCATGGAGGGTCCTATGGAAGCAGACCCCCAGCAAAGCATGTAGAGCCCCTGCCATGCTGCAAAAGTGGCCTCCCCAGGGGGACTCCTTGGGGAGCCCACTGCACCCCACGAGTGAGGCTGTGCCAGGATGAGGCCAACCCATCCCTCTACAAAGGCACCACACCCTGGGCTTCCTTCCTGCTCTCTCAGGGAGGAGCTACTCTGTGCCTGACCTTGGTGGCGAGGGCGGGGGGAGGGGGGGGCGGGTGTCAGGCCGCCTTGTCTCCTGTGGAGTCTTCAGGAGCCAAGGCCAGGGCAGTTGGCTTGGGGTTAGAAAGCTGGCTCCAGCCGCTGGGGTCAGCGGTGCCCCACATGTCCCACCTGCTACAGGACACGGGGTGAGTCTACCACATGACCTGGAGCAAGTTTATCTTGAATGCCAGTCTGAGCAGGGCCCTCAGCTCCTACTCACCTAGGTGGCAGTGGAGACGCATCCAGGCAAGCTCCGACACTTGGGACCACACAGCTGGAGCTGAGGGAGGGGAGCAGGGGGGCGCGGTGAACAGGTACCCTGCCAGGCATTCCTCATGTGACCCTTGCCTGGCCCTCCAGCGTCCTCAGGCAGCCAAATCCTGTTCCCGCTCTGCAGATGAGGTGGGGGATCCCTGCAAGACTCTAGGACTTCCCCTTACCTCAAGCATTCCCAAACCCAGCTACCATCACCCACCCTGGGAGGCGTGTGACAAATACAGGCACCTGGGCCCCGCACCACCAAGCCTACCCTGGTGGGTTTCCAGGGGCCCAGCATCGTCATCTCTCACAAGCGCCCTAGGTCATTGCCAAGGCCTATGGGGCTGGGAACTGAGCTGGGCCCCATGTAGCAACCTCCCGCTCTCTCCTGATTGCACCCTGCCTTCCCTGCCCGGGAGTGGGCTCCTGTATGCAGCAGGAATGCAGGACCGCATCACCAGGGTTATGAACACTCACCTCAGGCTCTTCCCAGCCCAGACCTGGGCAGGGTTCTGTTGCCCCCACAAGGAGCCTAAAAGGAGAGAGCCAGCCTTGCATCTCTTCAGGGGCCTGGGCTGGCCTCCCTCCCAGAGAAGGGTCGGCTGCCTCTTGCAGCCCAGCTATGTTCAGGCCCTGGGGACCAATGGCCTATGGGCAAGCTCCATGACAACTCCTCTCTCCTGCCACCACTCTGCCACCTGTCCCCTGTGTAAAGTCCTGAGGGTGGGTGTTTCCATGGCCACAGAACCTGGGCTCTGTGCAGCTTTTCTGACTCTATTCTCGGGGCATCTTTGTTCTGAGAGTGAAGGTGAGGTGTGTGGCACCTACAGTGCCAGGGCTCAACGGCTCCCCAAGTGCCCCCAGGCTCCTCTGACAGGCCTCCAAGCTGCCACTGTCTCCCTCACCCTGGCTGGGTGGGGGACCCCAGGCATTGGGGGCATAGTCGCCCCTTGGCGCTGCCCTCCCCGCCCCTAGGGTGCCACCCCTCTCCCCTCGTCTCCCTCCTTCGGATCCTCAACCTGGCTACACCTGAGGGCCCTTGAACAGCTCACCATGGGGACCCCTGCCCACTCTGCAGGACCACCTTTGGGCACTTTTCTGGTTCTCCCCATACATACCCACTGAGAAAGCACGATGAAGGTGTCTGCCCCAGCACCAGCTTTGGGCTCTGGACCATCCCTGGATCACCTGCATGTCTGTTAACACCCCCAGGGGCCTATGTCCCTGGCCTGTCCATGCAGCCACTCAGTGCTGAGAGCAGGAGGAACAGTCTTCCTCTTACCCTTCCTTCTTCAATCTTGATTGCCCCACAGTTATTGGACAGGTTGTGATTGGTACCTAGTAATAGGGTGCTGTTGTCTGATGAAAATTCTGTGTCTCTGTGGACCAGCCGTGGGTTCCCACGCCATGCAAATGGTTCCTTTCTGGCAAGCACCAGGATCTCTTCTGTTTGCAAGCTCAAGATAGCAGCAGGCAGCTGGCCTCATCCTGGCAGAGACTTGCTTGATGGGGTGCTTCTGTTTGTGTGTCTGTGTGTCTGTGTGCATTTGTGTTTGTGTGTGCTAGAACACACGCGCTGAGAACTCTGGGCCCAGATTCAACTAGGAGGGCCTTTTGTGACTCACACAAGGCTGAGGGGTGTCCTGCCTTCCCTACTCTGTATCATGCTGGCCACTGGTCTCCAAAACCCAGTGCCTGCCACATTTTCGTGAAGGTACGTGTGGTAATGATCGATGTCAATGATTTCCATCGTCCTCACCCAATGTCTTCACATCCATTTTTCTCTGGACCATCACAGGCTTGAGTATAAATACGTTTGTTTTAAAGTCAAGGAGATCAAATTTGGGGGGGCAAGAGCTATTTTCTTTGATTGTAAGTTTTCCCTAAAGTTCACCACGTTCACCATTTAAAGTTTAGTCGTCCCCGGCATGTAGCATATTCACACTGCTGTGCAACCACCATCTCGATCTAGTTCTGGAACATTTTCATCCCCTCAAAAGGAAATGCCATCCCATTAAGCAGTCCCTGACAGCTGGTCATTTGTTCCCGGTCTCTATGGATTTGCCTGTTCTGGATGCTTTGCAGAAACAGAACCACCTGCTGTGTGGCCTTTGGCATGTGGTCTCTTTCGCTTGGCCTCCTGTACGTCTTACCTGTGCTGCTGTGTGCATCAGGACTTGACTACTGTGGCTGGACAACACGCCACTCTGTGCACAGACCCCGTTTTGTTCATGCATTTGCACTTCAATGGGCAGTTGGGTTGTTTCCATGTTTTGGCCACTGAATAATGCTGCTGTGAACGTGGGTGTGCAAGTACCTGTTAGAGTCCCGGGCAGTCGGGTCCCTAACCATGTCTTTCTCTTTAGGTTTGGTTATATGCGCTGCAGAGTGGAACAGTGAGGATGCAGAGGGAACGTAGGGAACAAGAAGGCCCCAGGCACGCAGTGGGGAGCCCGCTGCATCCTTGATGCTGACCCTGCCTCTGAACAGCCCAGCAGCACAGAGCTGGCCAGGCAGCGCACATTGCAGAATTGCTAACTGCTCCTCTCTGGATTTTCCTGTTTGTTTGCAGAGGCACCTGTCGCCCGAGGAGTTCCAGGAAGTGTTTGGGATGAGCATGGAAGAGTTTGACCGCCTGGCCCTCTGGAAGAGGAATGACCTCAAGAAGAAAGCCCTGTTGTTTTGACGGCCGCCAGGGTGCCTGACCACACGCGTGCCAGCGGCAGAGCACGGGACACCTGACGAGAACCACGAAAACCCTTCCTCTTGCACCTGGCTCTGGCTTCTCTGTGTCCGTGAGGGGCGGGCAGTGGGCCCCTGGAGAGGGCTGGGCTGGAGGCTGGGGTAGGAGGGGGTCCCAGAGTAGGTGCAACCACTGTTTCTGCCAGGAATGCTCCTGCCCCTAGTTCAGAGTCCGGACGCCTTGCTTTGCACTGCTCCTTCCCCGCTGTTGCTTGGCATCAGGGAGATGCTGCAAAGTAGCTGTCCCAGGAAATCAAGGAACATTTCCCTGACCATGCAGCCCACCCTCCCGACCCCCGTGCAGTGCCCCAACCCCTGCACTAAGCCCTGGGGGCACAGAGGTACCTGAGACTTGGGATTTGAGGAGGTTTGTCGATGACAGATGCTGACACAATCATGGGTGGGTGGGCAGATGGCTCCTGGGGCCTGCTCACCCCCCACCCCTTGCTCAGCCCCGGGGAGGCCCAGCCTTGCACACAGACAGGCCAGGCCAGGGAGAGTGCTGCAGAGCACCCAGGGCTGCACAAAGTGAAGTGTGGGGTGCATGATATTTTGCAGCCACTTGTGAGGAGTCTGGTTTTAGGGACAAACGTCAACCTGACAGGGTACTGTCTGCCAGGGCCCTCCGTGCACTGCATTTTTCTTCCAAATCATCCCCTAGATGCCTAAATGATATCTTTAAAGTAACACAGAAGTTTTTATTTTATTAAAGAGCATAGCCTACTTAAACATAAGACGACATATATAGAGTTCCATTTTACGGTCCCACGGAAGGGGAGCGCCTCCAGCCTTATTCTCCACTGTTTGGATCTGTGTGGTTTTGCTTTTTGGTGTGCTCCTAACACCTAGGGCTCCTTGTTGGTGTTCTTTTCATCTTTTTTTTTTCTTTTTCACCTGTCACACGGGTGCCCTTAAGGGCAGCCCTTGGCCATGTGATGCTGTTTGTAAGTATGTGTGAAGTGTAGCCACCACGGTCTGCCTCGCTGTCACTCTCCACGTCTTGGAGACAAAACATCCTCTTCTGATGGCCAAAGCCCTGGAACAAAGGATTTCCATGCACCCAGCCGAATAATACCCAACTACCCAACATAGCTCTTGATCTGCCCTTTTGTGATGTGGCCTGTGTGGTGCCTGCCTCCCCCCCCCCCCCCGCAGTGAAACATGACCCCCCACCCCCTGGGGGTAAAGTGTCTTCTTGTGTGCGTGGTCCTGAGACAGGCACCTGGCCGCTGGGGAGGGAGGAGGGAGAGCCACCCTCTTCTGGCCTCCAAGGTCAGCAGGCAGTCCTGCAGCAGAAGGCTTGGCCGGACCCCCCACTGAAAGGTGTCTGTGTCTGTAATTAGGAGATGACAGGGTGTGCTGCCTGTCACAGGACGCTTGTACAGTGAGTTCAGAGGCATATGAAACACTAGGAAGGTGTCACCAAAGTCTGTTTCCCTGTCTTCTGTGTAGCTGTGTCCCTCTGTATGTCCTGGAGGTCCTGTCTGTGAGTCAGCGTTACTCAGATCCTTCCAGCCTCACCACACACCCTGTTGCGCATCGGCTTCCCACCAGCCCGGCTCAGCCAGGGAGGCGAGTTTCTAGCACCTGACGCACTTCCCTCCATTTAGCAGCCTGAGCCCGAGCAACTGGAAACCCCCGTTTTCTCATTAGTGCAATGTTATGTCAGCTCCCAGGGGAGCCTTGGAAAAATAAAGGACGGTGTATCCTAACTTGTGAAGGTGAAAACCATTTCTCCCAGGCGTGTGTCATTTCTCAGGGCATGGGCCCCTTCTGCTGAGGGAGCCTGGGGAGAGTGTCTGTGGAAGGGGCAGGGTTCTACGAGTGGGATCCCCATTGCATGGGGACACCATAAGACACCCCCCTCTCAGGAGGTGGCAATTTGGGAGCACTTCCCAGTCAGCACCATGCACTGGTGGTCCAGAGGGGCATGGGACCTGATCCCTGCCCCTGCTGGGGAGACCAACAAGCAAACAAAGACAACAAGACTGACTCCCCTGGGGAGGCCCCAGATACACCCCAGAGGTCAGGAGACGCTTTTTGAGAAGGTGCTGCCCAAACTAAGCCTTGACAATTGAGGAAGCATTCCCAGCGACCAATGAAGGAAAGAGCATTCCAGGCTGAGGGAACAGCAGGAGCAGACACAATGAGCTGGAGGCAGCGTCCTAGGTTCTGGAAACTTCTGTAGCTGGCTATGGCTTGGACCACAGGGCTAAGGAAAGGAAGAAATGCAGGTAGGGCTCCCACGTGGGAGGGCCTGGCAGGTCTGCCCACCACAGCCACCCATGCTGTTCTGAGATTAAATGTCTCCTAATCTCTCTGTTTTAGTCTGCTCAGACTACAATAACAAAAAGGGTGGCTTAAACCACAAGCACTGATTTTTCATAGTTGCGGGGTCCAGAAGAGTCCAAGGTGGAGGTGCCGGGGTGATTGGGTTCTAGTGACAGCCCCTCCCTGGCTGGCAGACGGCTGCCTCTTACCGTGTCCGCACTTGGTGGACACAGATCATGCGTTTTATGCAACTCTTCTCCTACGAGGGCACCGTCCCATCGTGAGGGCCCCACCCTCATGGCCTGATCACCTCCCTGAGGCCCCATCGCACAGGGGGTCAAGCTTCCACATACAAATCTGGGGGATACAGACATTCGGACTGCAGCCCTCTCTAATCTCATTACAATGAGTGTAATGACTCTTGTGAACTTCGAGTGTTCCCCTCAAAAGCCGGTCCACATGTGCCACCTGCCCATCTTGGTAAATGACACAATGTACCCTCCCCCCTCCGTTATGGAAGTCAGAAATGGGTGTGCTCCCCTCAGCCCCCAGGACCACCCACCAGAGGCCCTGGTTCCACTGCAGACGTCCCCCGGCATTTCTCCTGCTCCGCAGACACAGTCATGGGATTGTTCCCAGAGTGGAAGGTAGCACTCTTCCCCCGATGGCCTTGGGACACAAGTGTGCACCTGGCCTGTCCCAGGCAGACCCGGACATGTGGTCACCCTGACCACGCTGAGTCCACCCTCACCTCTCCCTGGACAGGTGCAGCAGCTCCCTGGCAGGCCATTCCCGGCCAACAGCCAGGGCCCCCACTCATCACCTGCTCCCTATGAGGTCCTGGTGTCTGTCCTATTTGTTACAGCCATGAGCCTTTCTTTGGGTTCCCTAGGCAGCAAGTCTTGAGCTTCTGCACATGCCCTCCTTCCTCCCAGGGGAAGTCCCCTCTACCTTCGTTCTGCTCAGACGTTCCATCAGACAAGCCCCTCGCAGGCTCTTTAGGAGATCTGCTCCATGCCTGTGCCAGGACTCATCGCGCCCACCTGCTCTCTGCACACGGCTTCTATTGATTTACTCTTTCCCTCCAGCACCTGTAAAGCCAAGAGGGCTGATGGTTTTATAATAGTGCTCCGCGCCCTGGGAATGTGGTTGGAACATTCGGTTAGGAGGCCGGGGCCCACCTGGACACTGTGTTTTCCCCAGGGTGGTCCTTATTTCCCAGAGTGGAAACCCATCCACCATGTAAGTGAAAGATGGATCATTGCAGAGCTAGTTCCCATCCCCGTTGTTATATCCCCCTCCCCGACCCCCAGCTTCTGGGGGGAGAGGGGAAGAAACCCTGGTGTCGAGGAGGCAGCTCACCTGTGCTGCGTGCTCTGGGACCCAGCACAGCCCCCCTGGGAGGACCTCTGTGGCTAGCGTGCACCCTTCTTGCAAATTTAACAGAAGAGGGTATCCGTGCTACCCTGGTGGCCACCAGAGGCTGCCAGGCTGTTACCCAGTTAGGTTTCATGAATAGAGGCTGCCTTTTCTTCTGCCTGAATCCAGAGGTCCATGGAGCATTCCTCAGCTGGACCTCACTCCTGAGAGCTCCCTTCCGCGGCCCTGCCTGCTGGCAGCTCTTCCTGCCTCTGCTCCCTGAACATCTCTGTTCTAACGCTTATGTGCCACGTCACATCCTCTGCTCAGGAGCCTATGGCGATCTGTCTGTAGCACACACTTGCCCATGCCATTCCCTGCCTGGAGACCTTCCTGGGGGGACCTCTGTGGCTGCTCCCTAACTCCTTGACAGGCATCACCTGGCCACCGATGACCTTCACAGACTTCCTTCCTCCTTCCCACTTACCTCTGTTCCTTAAGAGGCAACTCCCACCTCCCTCCCACACACAGCACCACCCTTTGCAAAGGCTCTTTCCTCTGCCTGGAATGCACCACCTAGCAAACTCCTATTCATCCTTCAATACCCAGCTGAGACACAGTCTTCTCAGCCAACTTCCATAATAGGAGCCCTCCCCCAAACTGTTATCACTCTTCCTTCCGTCCAGAAAGAATAGTTCATCAACAAATATTTACTGAGCTGGGCATGAGAAAACAGAAATGAAAAAAACACTGTCCCTGACTTCCAGAACCAGTCACAAACTCATGGGGGAAATGTACTGTGAACTGAATTGTGTTCCTTACAAACCTACACACTGAAGCCCTCACTCCCAATGTGACCATATTTGGAGATGGGGTCTAGAAGGAGGTAATTATGGTTAGATGAGGTCAGACGTGGGGCCCTGATCTGATTAGGGATTGTGTCTTTTAAGAAGAGGAAGAAAGTTTCCTAAAAGGCCATGTGAGGGCATAGCAAGGAAGTAGGAGTCAGCCAGGGAAGGTCAGAGTGAGAAAGATGGAAGGAGCATCGCAGGTCAAGGTCAGGGGACAAAAAGTGGCCTGTTGCTCCTAGGACCTGCATGGTGTGGCTGGGGTGGGGCGTGTTCCCTTCTCTGTGCTTCACGGTAGCCTGGCTGTACCTGGTTTAGGACAGTTCCCCTATCAGCTCATCATTATCTGTACCCTGTGCTGGGGAGATGCTGTCCTGCCCTGCCCAGGCCTGTATGCAAACACCTGCATCTCTGGCCATGGGATCTGCTCAGCCTGCATGAGGGGCAGGCCCGGGGTGCCAGGAGCTAATGCAGCTTCGAGAGCAGCTCTCAACCAATAAGTCTTCCCAGGCTGTCCCCCACTGAATGGGACAACTCTGAGCTTGTCCCAACCAGGTTTGAGCCCCCACTGCCCACAGCAGGCACCTGCTCACGCACACACCTCCCTGGGCTCATTCCCTTCTTTCCCCGACTGTCCTTCCCCTGCCCTGGTGCTCCCTGGGATCTCCTCCCTCTTAAATGGCTTGTTCTCAGTCCTGGTTTCTGGGTCTACTTCTGGGGATACCTGTCTTTCCTCCCTCAACTCTGGCCTCACCTACAGAGGGTAGAAAGGTGCTCCTTTTATAGCCAGCACAGGAGGAAACACAGCTGTCTGGCATAAGCAACCAGGGCCACGGAAGGTGGGTGGGTGATCCCCACCACTGCTCCTGTAGTAAGGCGGGGGTCCTATCCCATAGTCGAAGCCCCACTGCCTATCCCAGAAGCATTGGGGTGGGCTCTTTCTCTCTCTAGCCTACAGAAAACACTTTCTGCATCCCACGATGGATTTTTCTGGAGCAAGTACCCACAAGAAGCTGCTGGTCTATGGTGACCTGTAGCTTTCTGCTAAGAGCCTCTGGCAGGACAGAGTGACCCTGGACTGGGGAGGAACAGGCACAGCCTCTGTCCTGGCTGAAGTCACTGCTCCTATTGACCTTCTGCCCTGGGCTGCATTTGGTCCACCCTCCCTCTAGGGGGTCTTCTTCCAGCTGTCCTGGGTTACCAAGTCCAGGCTGGCTCCTGACAGGATCCCTGTCACCAGCAAGTCGGAGCACATGCAGACCCCAGTTGCCTGCCAGCTTTAGTCCTTGCTCTCAGCACACCAAGGCCTCAGGCGTGTGTGGGCCACCAGAAACCTACTTTACTTTAGTATTGCCCTCTGGTTAAGACACTCCATCCAAGTCCTATGAGCCTTTGGAGACTGGCTGCCAGTAGAGCAGTGCTTCTCATGTGCCTGAATGCTTGACCTTCTCTACACTAACACCTTGGTGGTCCTTCAAATGTCTCCAAGACTTTTTCTGCCCTAGAGAAGTAGACAAAAGAATAACCTTTCAGTTGTGTGTGTGTGTTTAAAGATTTTTCTTATTTGAGAGAGAATGAGTGAGAAAGAGCACAAATGGGAGGAGGAGCAGAAGGAGAGGGAGCAGCAGACTCCCCGCTGAGCAGGGAGCCCGATGCAGGGCTCGATCCCAGGACCCCGAGATCATGACCTGAGCCAAAGTCAGAGGCTCAACCAACTTAGTCACCCAGGTGCCCTCTGTTGGGGTCATTCTTTGGACTTGGATATTCTCCCATAGGCCAAAGAGAGCCCTTAGCACCATGGGGAGTGGGGAGGCACCTCCCATCACTCTTTGGGGGTAAGAGCATTCCATCTGTATATTCATATCTCTCAATGCTGACCAGCTATGACTTCTCTCAGATCCCCAGCTCTTCTGAGGGGCAGCCCTTAGTTGCCTTACAATCAAGAGGTCAGCTACTAGGGCACTGACTCACTCCCTTTGCTCGGTGCTCCCAAACACACCTGCCAGTTCATCCTTGTTCAGAGTGGTACAGCTTTGTTTCTCTGCCTCTGCCCACCCAGCAATGGCCTAGAACTGCCTGTAACCTTCCCTTCCAGTGGCTTCCCAGACCAGTTCATGTGCATTCCTCTGGGAAAGGAATTTTGAGGTTTGCTTTTAAAACACTATGTCTGCCCCTCTTCCTTTGTCGTGGGCTGTCCTGTGGAGGAGGGGTTGGAGGGACCAGGCCTGGGAGAGGGAGACTGATAGGAATGATTTTGCCATAATTCTGGGGAGACTGCAAAGGCTGGGGCGAGGCTGTAGATTCCAGAAAGAGAGCCATCAGGACCTGGCATCTGGATGTTGGGGGGACAGGGTAGAGGATGAGATCCTGCTCACTGGCAGGGCAATGGGACAGATGCTGGAGCTGCTCACGAGTAATGAAACCTAAGAGGAACAGCTGGTCTGGAGTGTGAAAGGCAGATGTGAACTACTGCGTGTCATGGATGAGGTGCCCGCAGGCCACCCAGGGGAAGGTACCCCAGGGAGAGCCAGACTAGCAGGTTGGGGGCTCAGTGGAGGGAGGTGGCAGGGCAGGGATGTTTCTGAGGGATAGCCAGGGTCACAGGCCCTTAAGAGACCTCCCTAGGGATGGTGCAGAACCAGCAGAGCAGACCCAGGGGAACCCTGGCTTTTGTGCACTTGGTCTTCCCCCATCTGGCAGAGGAAGAATAGAGGGCGGCAGGACCGGGAAGGGAGCGGGAGAGTGTGGTTACCAAGGTGAGGGGAGAGAATTAGAAACAGAGTAGACATGAGGTGGGATGTGGTCTGATGGGACCCAACTGTGTGGGGCGGAGGAGGCCAGGGCACGTGATGCTGGTAGGTTTTGGAAGAGATGGATTGACAGGGTTTTTCTTTTCTTTTTTTTTTCCCCCCATTTTCTTTCAACATTATAAGACTGTCTCATTGTCTTTTGACTTCACTTATTTCTGGTAAGGAGTCATCTGTAATTCTCATTGTTATTCACCAGTATATGATGTTTGTTACATGACTGCTTTTTAAAAAAATCACTTTTAAATTTTTTTAAAGATTCTACTTATTATTTGAGATGCTATTAATTGTAAGAGAGAGAGAGAGAGAGAGAGAGAGACAGAGAGAGAGAGAGAGAGAGAGAAGGAGCAGGGGTGGGGCAGAAGCAGACTCCCCACTGAGCAGAGAACCCAACATGGGGTTCGATCCTGGGACTCCAGGATCAGGACCTGAGCTGAAGGCAGACACTCAACCACTGAGCCACCCAGGGGCCCCTAATGTCATTTGTTTTAAAGTGCTAGGTTTGGGGGTATTTTGTTACATGGCCACAGATGGCTGGCATAGCAGCCTGGAGGTTTTCTGAACTGACCGCACATCTTAAACTGGGCCCAGCTGCCATGGATCGCCTTTGCTGTCTCTCAGCTCCAGAATCTAGGAAGACTGAGTCAAAAGTGTCATGGAAATACAGCTTACTTTGGCCTCTAAATAGTTTGTATTTATATTTTTCCTCAAGAGACATGTTATTGGAAGAGTCTAGAAGAGGCCTCAGGTCACAAACTCCACCTAGTAGCCCTTTGCTGTATCGAACCAGGTCAGAAGTTTCCACAGAGTATCAGTCCAACTTTGAGGTCTATAACTCTGATTTATTTTCCTATTGAATGAACATTCTCTTTACATCAGAAGGGCTGTAGTGGCAAACAGGGACTGGGTTTGTTTTCTGAGGTGCTAGGCTGTCCCAACATTCATTTTCACATCTTTCTATTAGTCAGAGCTGTGAAGCCTACCTGGACTGGTCTATTGGGTGGTAACTTTGTCAGTGAATGTGGAGCCCAAATAGGATGGCCCCTGATGAGGAAGGAGACTCAGGCTGAGTTTCTCCATGTGACAGACATTTGTTGAATGCCTATATGTGTCCATTAGGAATTCTGTGAGTAACAGAAAAATTGATTAACACTGGCTTACACAACTAGGAGATTTGCTTTTTCCTACCGAATGGAGAATCTGGAGGTAGGTGGTTCCTCCCCTTGATTCAGTGGCTCAAGGGTGCAAGGGTCAGAATCTCTCTGATTCTGACTTTGCTCATGGTTGTGAAGTGGCTGCTAAGGATCCAGATAGCACATGCGTGTCCAAAGGTAATGAATGTCTCTGCCGCTGGCAGCGTCAACTGTACTGATTCCTTTTCCCCAAAGAGGAAAACCTTCCCTGGAAACTAATGATATGCTGGTAAATCTTTAATTACTGCCTTCTGGGGGATGGGTGGAAGGAAGAAAGTCCTGATCTACAGTCGTTACCAATTTCTGTGCTATAAATACTCTCACATCTAATTTCAATGACAATGCTGACTGCAGCTATGGGAAGAGATGCCAGTAGCACAACATCATATGGTATTTCTATCTCACAGTTAGAGTACAGATGTAAATCCCCTGATAGCGTAGGTAAATGTAAACTGTAGTAAAATAACTAGGAAGTCATCCATTTTGAATAGTTATTTATCTTTGTTTTTAATATAACCTTTAATCATAAGTTTATATCATTTGATTTTTAAGTAATGACTGTGTTTAATAAGTGACTTTGTAAAATTCTTAAACAATGAACAATCAGCTCTCAGGGCATGATCCAAATTGGCTCGAGGGCACCACTGTTAGAAACTTTCAGCCAACTTCCACTGTGTCTCACTGGCCAGGACAATGTCACATGGCCACGTCAGGCTGTGAGGGAGGCTGGGAAGACAAGACACTATTCAGGCCACTATATAGGGTGGAATATGGCCAGGGAAAAGGGGCTGGAAAGGATTGCAGGGAGGGCCAACAATCTCCAACCGACTGCCCTGGAACAAAGCTGTGCTGGGTATTTGGAGCACAGGGTGAGCAAGATAAATCCCATTCATATTCTCATGGGCTTTCAGTGTTAGTGGCAAGAGAGAGGTTTTAAACAAATACGTGTAATTGTGATGGATGCCAGAAAGACGCACAGGGTGTGTGAATGTGTGTATGGGGGAGGGGACCTGGTATTCGTTTTTTACTGTTTCATCAGAAATGACCACAAATGTAGCAGCTTAACACAATGCACACATATCTTAACTCAGTTTCTAGGCTACATTTTAGCTGGGTCTTCTGCTCACGCTTCTCCAAAGGCTTCACTCAACCTGTTAGCCAGGCTGCATCCTCACTTGGAGGCCTCACTAGGGAAGAATCCACGCTCAAGCTCATTCAGCTCAATGCCTGAATTTGTATCTCTAAGCCTGCATGATAGGGGGCCCAGATTTTTGATGATTGTTGGCTGGGGGCTGTCCTCAGGTCCAATAGACTCTCAGCCAGGTGGGTTTCCCCAAAGGCCACCTCACAGCATGGCAGGTGACTTCTTCAAAGCCTGTGAGTACAACCTCTCTCTGTGGTCTGCTGAGATGAATTTTTACATAATATCATGTGACCATGGGAGTGATGCCCCACCAATAAATGCTGGCCACATTACATTGGCTAGAAGCTGTCACGGTTTCTGCCTGCACTCAAGGTAGGGGATCATACAAAGGTGTGACTCATTGGGGGTCACCTGAAGGTGTGTCTATCACAGTTGTGCTCCGTGTAGGGGTGGCTACAAAGCCTTCCTGGAGAAAGTGACATTTAGGGAGAGACTGGAAAGGTCAGTTGGAGTTGGCTAGTATAGGGAGAATGATGTGTCAGGCAGAGGGCAGTATGTGCAAAGGTCTGGAGCCTGATGTGACCATCCTTTGTACTAACGACTCTCTGGGATGTTATTTTCCTATTCTCTGAGGACATCCCCATATCACACTGACTGGAGAGGAGTAGGAAAGCTTCTTATATTCATGGAGGAATTTGTCTAACAAATCAATTTGGAAGTCAGACTGTGTGTGTGTGTGTCTGCATATATAGGAGATGGGACCTTATCCATTTATTCATCTCTTCTATCACCATTCTGAGTACCTTCAGGGTACCAGGTTGCATTCTGTGCACAGAAGTGAGTCAGAGTCCTGCCTTGGCCTAGAAAGGTCACACTTCATTGAGAATGGTGGGGCAGGGGAACCCCCAGCTGGTGCCGTGAAGGTGATGGGAAGGCAGAGATGGATTGTATCAAGGAGCAGGGGAAATAAAGCACTCAAGGATGGATTTCAGATTTTAGCCTGAGCAACTGTGTAGATGGAGAGGCCAAGAGAACAAGAAGAATGTAGAGGAGCTCGTTTGGGGGTGTTGAATAAAGCACTTGTTTTGGCCATGAGAAGTTTGAAATGCCTCGTGGGCATCCAGCTGAGGATCTGGGACAGGTCAGGTGGGGTTGGAGATAGAGACCTGGCCATCACCACAGTATGTAGATAGCCTGGAAGAGCATGAGATTTCCTGGTAAGAGAGTTCCACCTGGCCCCAGCCATGGGCTACCCTAGCACCCCAAGATGTAGAGGCTGGGCAGAGCGAGGGGTGGATCCCGGAGACTTGAGGAGGAGCAGCTAGTGTGGTAGAGAGAAACCCAGAATATGTGTTGGATGATGCCAAAGGATCAAATACAATGAAGACAGAGGTTTTCAGGATGGTCTGCCCTTAAATATGTGGGGGTGACAGGATGGCATTTCAGGTGGAAAATATAAACACCACGAGAGCTTTGAGGTAGGAAAGGAAAACGAGCTTAGCTCTTGGCTCTTTTATCATGCGTTACAGTGACCCCGAGAGATCTCCTGTCCTGCAGGGGAGGACCAAGTCGGCCTCTCCGCCACTCCTAGTGCACGTCGCCTGTCTGCGAAAATAAAATACTTGTCGAATGAATAAAAGATGAGTCAGTGAACAGGAAGGCTGTGACCTGGGGCGGCAGGTGATCTCGCTCCTCGGGCCTCAGTTTCCCTGTCTGTTATGCAAGCCGTCGTTACTAGCCTGAGTTGTGGGCTGGGGCGAGCACAGCCTGCCGAGCCGACCCCGAGGCCCCGAGGGCGCAACGCGGGGGGCCCTCCCGGCTCCGGCCGCGGACTCGGCCGCCAGCCGCCCAGCTCCGGGGGCACCCGCGGCCCCGCCCCGGCGCGGCCCCGCCCCCTCCTTTGTTTCCCCGGCCCCGCCCCCCGCGCGCGGCTCCCTCCCCATTGGTCGGGGGGCGGGTCCCGAGCGCCGGGGGCCGCCGGGGGCGGGGCGCGGGGCGCGGGCGGGGCGTGTGCGCCTGCGCGGTGCTCCCGCCCGGCCGCAGCCTGGCGCCGGCTGCTGCTCCGCGCGGAGCCCGAGCCCGAGCCCGAGCGGGAGACCGGCAGAGGCGGCGGCGGCGGCGGCGGCGGCGGCGGCGGCCCCGCCCCGGGGCTCCATTGTTGCGGCGGCCGAGGCTGCGCCGGCTGCTCAGCCCTGTTCCCCTCGGCTCCGAGCGAGCGCCGCTGAGCGGGTGGCCGAGGTGAGGCGGCGGCGGCGGGGCCGGGCCGGACCGAGTCGGGCAGGGCAGGGTCCGGGGTCCGGCGGGGGCATCCTGGGGCCGGACGGGGGTATCGGGGCTGGACGGGGGATCCCGGGGCCGGGCGGGGGGCCAGCGCCGGTGTCGGTCTCGGGGCTGGACGGGGGGCTCCCGGGGCATGACTGGGGGTTCCCGGGGCTGGACGGGGGGTATCAGGGCTGGACGGGGGTCCCGGGGCTGGACGGGGGGTTCCCGGGGCTGGACGGGCGGTATCAGGGCTGGACGGGGGTCCCGGGGCTGGACGGGGGTCCCGGGGCCGGACTGGGGTTCTTGGGGCCCGACTGGGGGTCCCGGGACCGGATGGGGGTCCCGGCGCTGGAGGGTGTCTGGAGCGGGCCGGTTCCGGGGCGAGCGAGAGGCAAGGGCCGGTGGGGGTCTCGGGGCTGGGCCTGGCGGAGGTCCCAGGTGGCAGGAGCCCCGGGCGGCGGCCGGAGTTGGGCGAGGTGTTCGGCAGGCAGGGTCCCCAGACCCGACCGGGGCCTTGGGGGACTGGTTAGGTGGAGGTCCATGGGTCAGATGGGGTCCGGGGCTGGGCGGGGGTCTCGGGCCGGGTGTGGCAGGTCCAAGCCAGCACCGCGGGAAGGTGCGGAAGGTGGCGGCTGCCGCCCTGAGCGCTGGGGGGACGGGGCCGTGCTGACCGGGCGCCTGGGCATTGTCTCCGCCTTGGGGGGCTGGGGGGGGGTGGCTCTGCGCCTGCTGTGAGCCTCTATAGACCCCTGCGCAGGGATTCTGATCACCCAGGGCACGACCTCCGTCCCTGTCCCCCTGTGGTGTGTCTGCAAAGGACCGCCTGCGAGTGGGAGAGGCGGTTTCTATCTTCCCTGCCCCGGTGCTGTGACCGGGTCACTGTCTCGTTGGGGATGACTGCATGGATTGCCATCTTGGGGGTCCTGGGCACCCTGAGAGTGAGATGCTCTTTCTGTGGCTCCTCATCCTGGTGCCTGCTTAGATGAACGCGTTGCCAACCATGGCCCTTCGTGGAGCCCTGCTCATGGTGTCCTGGCCACCCTGACTCTGCCCCTCCCACCCCCCAGGCTTGTAGGGGTGTGATCCCCCCTCCCTTCCACACGCATGCACGCATGTGTGTGTGTGTGTGTGTGTGTGTGTGTGTGTGTGTGTGTGTGGTCAGGGGCCCTTGCACCGGAGGTGGAGCCTGGCCGGGCATAGCGGGTTGTGCACAGAGGCTCAATTGGCCTGAGTGGGACAGCTGACTTGCTCTTTTATTGTTTTGTTGCCAAATGAGCAGAAACCGGGAGCGGCATCTCAGGGCTGTCCTTCTCTGGGATCCCACCCCTCTCCGCGGCCAGGTCCCACAGGAGCGCGGGGCTGTCACTGTGCCCAGGGACCGTGCTTCAGGCCCTGGCTGCAGTTTCCTGCTCCGGTGAGACAGCCGGCTCTGATTGGAGGGAGCCGAGCCCCTCTGCCCAGTGCTTCTTGATTTCTTCCGTTAGGACTGGGAATTTGAAAAAAAAAAAATCTTTAAAGCCAGATTTAACTTTGTAGCGTTCAGCGCCTGGAGAGTGGAGGAAACTCTCGCAAGAATTTGGCGGGCTGGAAAATGCATTTGAAGGAGGAGAATCCACACCCACGGAATGAGGCCAAGGCGGTTACAGTTAGAGGTCAAGTTGACAAAGGGATGGGGAGGGAGGGGTTGTGGAGTGGAGAAACTCAGATTTCAGCCTGATGTCAGGACTTGAGGCTACCTGGCAAGCTTTTTAATCTTTCAGTCCCTTAAATAAAGTGGAAACACCTATAATGTCCTAGGGATGATTCTCTTCCCTGGGGGATGTGACATTGAACCAGACAGTCTTTTCCTTTATTTATTTTAAGATTTTATTTATTTATTCTTGAGAGACACCAAGAGCAGCAGAGACACAGGCAGAGGGAGAAGCAGGTTCCCCATGGGGAGCCTGATGCAGGACTTGATTTCAAGACCCTGGGATCATGACCTGAGCCAAATGCAGACGCTCAACCACTGAGCCACCCAGGTGTCCCAACAGTCTTTTCCTTTAACAGAGTGTTTTGTTCTGGTCCAAGATAAGGCATAGGCAGAAGTAGTTCTAAATTCTTTGTGAACATGATGGTATATAAATAACAGGAGTCTCAGATGAAAATGTAATAATGGAGTTGTTGCTTTTTTACAGTCCAAACTAGCATGCAGACCCCTCTCCCCAGCAGCTGCTGACGTAGCTCCTCTTACCCATTCTTACCTGTCAGTTTACCTTCCGGGAGCCTTCCCTGAAATCTTACGTCCTGCCCTCCAGAGCTGTGGTCTTCGAGGACAGAGTGGTCAGCTCAGAGTAGTAGCGTAGTGTGATAAATGCGCTGATAGAGGTGGGCACGGTTTGTATCCAGAGCTCAGAAGAGGCATATTTAATTGAGAGGGGTTTTTTTTTCTATACCATGGTTCTAGATATTTCATGTGATTTAACATCTGTAATTCTTCAGCTCTCCAAAGGGTTTTTAGAATAATATTTGCTGTTACTTCCTAGTGTTAACAGAATAAGTGAGTATAGAGTACTTGATTAGCATTCTTTGGGTCTAATTCTAGCTTCAAAATTAAGTTACTGTTTGTTCCTGCAAAGCTACCCCTTCTGGGCTTCATTTTCTTCACCTTTGAGGGATCTTAAGCTGGAGAAGAATCTTCTTAGCCCTAAACCTTTAATTATTTCAACCACATAGAACAGAGGAAAGAAAGCTCTCTTAGTGAGGGGTGTATAAATAATGGATATCTTTGAAAATATAGGTTCAAAGTGGAAGTTCTTCAAAAAGTTTAGGTGCATGGGTGTATACTTTGTCTCAGATTTAAAGAGTCTATGATGGAAGTTTAAGCAACATTTTGATACTGTCTTGCATATTCTTCATAATTATGTTGTACTTGCAACATCTGCATCATATCATTTTGGTTTGATGTTTTCCTTAATGAAGTCATTGGATGCAGAGCTCTTGTCTGGAGCATTTCGTTGATCTTTTGAGTGTCATGTGAAGACGGCCAACTGTAGGTTTCTGTATATCCCAGGAAAATTTCTTTAACAGAGATTTTAATTTAGGGCATCTAGAATAAGTGGAATTTGGAGAGTGCCTTGAGTAGCTGTGTGTGATTTTATGTACCAGCATAAAGCACAGTTTAAAATTGTTGCTTGCGGAAAAATTACATCCTGTGGTAAATGGCCTATAAAAAAAATCCAATTCTAAGGAGTATAGTAATTAATCCTTTAAACTGTTAATCTCCTCTCTGATTTATGTTTGGTAAGATGGGAATTTGGTGTGCTTGATTTTCTGAAAGCCACATGTCTGTAGAAAGGATACACAGTTTTCTCTGCTATTCTTATTTGGATGATTACAGGGATTAAAAATAGAGGCTAAGCTGTCTGGTAGCGATGCCACTGAATTACGATTTTCACTGAACTCAGTAGGAGTTTTTTCCTTTTTTTGGTTTGCAGTCTTAATTTAAAAAAATTGCTTTGTTACATGCTGCATGCAGTTTGTTTTGTTAGTGATTTTATTTTTGGAGGCCTTTAGAAACTCAATTGGATCTTCTTGGTGGTTTTCTTAGGTTGTACTGATATTCTTACTGAAACTTAACTAGTTAATGCTTGTTCTGTGTCCAGATGACCATGTCATTCATAGCCGGTTGGGCTTTTATATGGATCCGATGAAAAGGAGTCTCCTATGGAATGGAATGCCTGTGGATAGAGATGGTGGAGTTTGGACTCTGTATTTCAAAGCTGTCCTCTCCTGTTCTTTACTGAAGGAAGAGAAGACCTCTCATTCTCAACTGGGGCCTCAAACACAAAGCCTCATTTACCCGGCTTTCAGGGACTGATGATGCTTCCTTTTTTTTTTTTTTTTTTTTTTTTTTTAAAGATTATGATGTTCTGTGAATCACCTGTTTTTTTTTTTTTTTTTTAAATGTATTATTTACCTTAAAGTTGGCCTTTGGTGGTCAACCTTCACCTCCACCTTATACCCCATATCACCCGCCAAATGGATTTTCTTCCTTCCTTTTCATTTTAAAGTCCTCACCAGGTGTCTGTTACCACAGGCTACCTCACAATTTTTTGGATATTGGTAGGATGTAAACATAAGTGACACAGCAAAGACCACTGACTTGGGTTCTCTTGGATGGGAGATGTGAGCTACAGACTCAGTCCTAGGATGGCTTTCATGAAGTCCATGTGCTTCTTGGGACGTAAGCTCCCTCAGTCGTAAAGTGGAGTTAGCTGTTAATTATGCCTCTTCCATGTGGCTTAGGAGGTTGTTCTGAGGATGAAATGAAATCAGGGACATAGAGCAATTTGCAAGTTGTAAAATATTATGTTGCCAAGGATTTTTAAAAAAAATGCTTCATTAACAATTTGATGGATCCAGGATGTTCTTCGGAACTCTAAATGTTTGTAATGTACAGGTGATCCTTAGCATGAGCTGTGGTCAGGCGACTTCATTTAGGATTGTTGTTTTTTTTTTTAAATTTATTTATGATAGGCACACAGTGAGAGAGAGAGAGAGAGAGAGAGAGTCAGAGACATAGGCAGAGGGAGAAGCAGGCTCCATGCACCGGGAGCCCGATGTGGGATTCGATCCCGGGTCTCCAGGATCACGCCCCGGGCCAAAGACAGGCGCTAAACCGCTGCGCCACCCAGGGAACCCTAGGATTGTTTTTTATCTTTAATTCAGCAGTGCTGTTTGGTACTTCAGCATTGTGGGGAAACATCATGTTGAGTCACCACTAATCCTTTCTCAGCAAGACTGTGCCATGTGTCTAATGTAGCTTTTGACAGTCTCTTCAGGTTGGTGTGATCTCATGGATGCTCCTTTAATGAAGCATTCTTTCTTGACATTTCAGTTCCTCAGCCACCTGTCCTGAGGTGGGAGAGGGCAGGAGGCAGGCTTAGGTCAAGGTCAGCAAAGCCTTCACCTGTGCCCGTTAGAAATCCCTAGTA